GAAAAAAAGTATAGTTGCTACAAGCATAAAACAAATCGAATTCTTGAACCGAACGAAAACTCCAGTATCAGATATCAAAGCGATGAGCAATATGGAGTGGTAGCTCAAAACTTCGAGATAAAAATTGGAAAAATGAGAAATACATTCCAACTTCTAGACGTGCTGATATGCAATGTCTTCTCTTAAGTACGTGTATATCCAATTTCTCTTACGTTGAAACCCTTCAGGATCTCATCGTATACAGTTTGGATGTGGGACCCATTAAAATCTTTAAGTGGTACGTTCAGCGAAACCCCTCTTCTAGTATCAACGTTGTTTGTGAAATCGGCACCTGAAATTATTGTGCACTTTACCACTGTTCCAAAATTTAACATAAAAAAGCAAAGTAGGGGTGGTTGAAGGCAATGGCTAGAGGAAAGGTGCCTTGTCCAAATTTGGTACAGATGAGCACAAGATCCTCCGAGTACACAATAGCTCAAAGGTCACTTTTCGGTTCATGTGCTAAACAATGCGTGCTTCGAAAGAGCAAGTCTGACAAGGGCCATTTATGCCGAGCCACCACCTTTAATGAGGATAATGACAGAGGGCAAATTTTTTATCTTAGTCGTTAAATCGGTTCTGACCTAGCCTTCAAAAAAGAAGAAAGCAGTGGTGAATAACATTAGAAATTTTCTCAATTGTCGTAGCTCAAGATTTCATAACCACTAAAACTTCTTGATAAGAAAAGCAAAAATGCTTTCTCTCAATAAACATCTTAACTCTTTTTCTACTTTTTTCATTCTTAGAAGCCCATATTAGCTAACAAACTTATTGTGATAATGTTCTATCCGGTAGTTTGAGTAGAATTCCAAGATTTGTGGATAACATGCAAAAGAGATGATAGACTTAGTTTTGAAAAAAAAGCTCTCTGGCGCAAAGCCGAACGATTCTCTCTTCCAAATTTTCGTATCAACGAGACTGTGAGACGCAAGTTCATGCTTACCTCGCAAGCTGATAATCACAATCCTTTTGTAATAATCGTAAAGCGGCTCAATTTTCCAATCCGGTTTCTTCTCCTCGCTGCAAAATATGGATAAGCAAAAAAGCACACGAAAGACGTTCTTAGAAACTAGCTCCAGCTTTGGTTTTGTGACGATGCTCTGTCCACAACTTTCATTGTCCACCGGTGGCGGATTAAGGGGGAGTGAGGCCTTCTCTTCCCAGAAATGAGTTGCCCATTTGTTATGAATATGTGCAAAGAGTCGTCACACTTGTGAATAATCAAAACATTTTTAATTTTCAGAATTCAAATTAGCCTTGTAACCAAGCCTTTTTTAAAATTTAAGTTGTGAGCCCGTGAAAGCTCGGGAATACCTTCGTTCTAAGAGAACCTTCCGTCCTTCCTCCCTCCCCCAACGGGCCGCATTATATCCATCCAAAACCAAGATCATGCAAAAATAAGGGCAAGGAAATTGTCTATAACGATGGAGGCATTGATGGCTTTTTCCATCAACGTTGGTGCTCTACAGACACTAGCCTAAACTGGGCTTGTACCTTGATTTGCCAAGAATCAAAGTTTATCCTAGAATTAAAAAGAATTTTATCTGACCAGATTTGATCACATAGAGGTTTTAATCCTATCACTCAAACATTCAAAAATGCAGGCAAGCTTGGCTTAGTGGTCGTATGTAGTTGAAAACCTCCATTTTGCATACCTACTTTTGTCGTCGTGATGGTACAGATGAAATACTGGGATAAATGTGCATGTGGCTTTTCCTGTGGACACTGTATCGCAACATTTGTATTCGACGCTATATCGTAAAGCTCGATCGGCTTCATCTTTTTTGGCGATATGGAACAAATGACCAATATAACATAAATCATTCATTTAAAATGATATGACCACGAAGACAAGTTCTATTTCTTTAAAAGTTATGGGAATAATTCATTGAGAACCAGCACTGCCTTGAGCGTGAACCTGAGGTGATGGTCTCGCCAGTAGAAAGGAAATCAAAATTCTCAGGCATATCAATTTGATGGACCATGTTTGACTCGCGCTCTCTGCTATGAATCCAGTCTCATATGGTTATTATCCGTCATATTGCTGAATTACTCCAAGGTTCGAGAAAAAAAACTCATTCTGGGAAGGGAGGGAGAAAGCAATGCTGAAAGAGTTCATGTTAAAGCCAACAACGAGTAGGTTACCAAAAGTGCAAATGATACAATTCTTATTATTTTGAATTCATTACTAACAGGAAAAACTTTAGAGAAGTGTTGAAACTTTCAGTATCTTGATGAGTAGCCAAATGAAAATGTGATCCAAGTTATGAAAAGCGACGTTTCTTGTGTGTGTAATCAGTTTTCTTCCTCAGACCTAATTTTGAATTATGTTTGGGATTTTCGCTTTCTGCATGAAAAACAATTTGCTACACGAAATCTGTAAGGTTCCCCTTCAGCATGTTAAGGGAGTCACAAACTATGATACACAGTGTGGAGGAATGCACTTAAGGGAGAGAGATGATGTGTACGGGTATCTCTTTTGCGGTTCTGGACCATCTACATTTGCATCCATACTTGAAGTTGACTTGATACTCCCACCCGAAGCCTCCAAGATAATTCCAAAAACTGAGCGCGTATATATTAGGTTGCTACATATATAAGTCTTGTTACACTCTGGTTACTTACAGCGATAAGTCCTACGCCTCACACTTTCACTGGGGCTTCAGGGCACCGTTCGATAGAGCAAAGCAAGCTCTACAAGATGCGCAGGTTCGCACTAGCTTCGACCCGCCGCAAGTTTGGAGCCGAAATGAGAGTCGTGCTCAGTGCTCAAAAAATCAAAAAATTCTATATCTCTGTTCAAAAACATCCTACGGATCTCTCGCTTGCTCATATAGATAACGCTTCACATTAGGCATTTATATACACAGTTACTGTATTTTTGCTTAGCTAGGAGTTAAGAAAATCGAAATTTTTGTACTTACACAAAAACGAAGCTATGCTGTTTTTACGCATGTAATTGCTTACTACAGGCCTTAAAAATATGAACGTAAATTTTTAGCCTTTCATAAGGTCTAGTTTTCGAGAAATGTTGATTTCAATACGGAACACCCGAATGAAGAGCGCTAAATTCGATGTATCTCGAAAACTAGCCCTTGTGCGATGCTAAAAATTTACGATGGTGCTTCTTAAGGACTGTAGTAAACAATAACCTGCGTGAAAACAGCATAGATTCGTTTTTGTGTAAGTAAAAGAATTTCGATTTTTTCGATTTCTAGTTGAGTAAAAAATACAGCAACTGTGCATATGAATGTGTGATGTGAAGTGCCATCTACATGAGCAAGCGAGAGATCCATAGGATGTTTCTGAACAGAGATATATAATTTTTTCGATTTTTTGAGCATTGAGTGCGACTCGAACTTCGGCTTCAAACTGGCGATATCGAGGCTAGTGCGAACCTGCGCATGCCATCTTGTAGAGCTTGCTTTGCTCTATCGAATGATACCCTAAAGCCCCAGTGAAAATATGAAGCGTAGGACTTATCGCTGTAAGCACACAGAGTGTAAGAAGACTTATGTAACAACCTAATATCATGAAGTGCTCACTCTCTAACCCACCTGCCCGTTAAGAATAGCAGACAGTTTGCGACATTGTTTTTATCGTTTGCATTGTTGATGTGGTCGATAACGCTGTAATGTACTAAAAAATAAATTTGTCTGTAATTCAACATATTGCTTACAGAAAGCTCACAAGAACGCACTTTTGACCATTAGGAGGAGAGCGCATCTCACCAAATTTGAGATCTTCCACCTTTTGATCAAAGCTCAAGTAATCAACCACCATATCCTCGAAAACGTCCTCAAGTGTGTCCACATGTACGCCATCCCGAGGATATATATTACCGTAAGGCCAGAGGCCTGCGCTTGAGTTTGAGCTGGTATTGATAACCTTTTTTCCAAGTTTCTTGATTAAAATCTTTTGCTGAAAAACAATTATCACATTGACGAACGCTTGACATACAAGGTGTGTCAAGGCTTGAATTTCGTAAATGACTACTATCATGGGATATACTAACTCCATGAGCCTTTTTTGCACAGAATCTAGGGAATGACCTCTACATTTGTAATTAGCTTTTCAGATTTACTATAGGTGTCCTGTAGATGGCAGCATGCGTCATTATAGTTAGAAAATGTAGGCTGGTCCGTAAGGCCTTGGTCCCGGAAGGCAGACAGCTAAAAATCTGCATCGCCAATGTGTTGTACTTGTAATCGTCATTTCGAGATTAGAAATGTTTAATAGACCTGTCATCATCTGAGATGACTTGTTGACAAAGTTTGATTTGCTAATCTCAATGCTTGTAGAATAATGCTTACCGCGTCTTGGTCCCCAAGTGATTTTTCTTTGAAGTTTTCCAAATCCGCTGCGAAAGCACAGTGCATATCAAATGAACCTGATTGGGGATTCGCATTAGGTAGAGAACAAATAAACAAATACCATACCATGAATCAATGCTAAATAAGCAGATTTGCAACTGCAATTAATAGGTGATTCGATGAAGTCTCCCCGCTGGACACTAGAAACTATCAGAAAAGAGCGGCAAAATAACAAGGACTCTTGTCGAGAGTGTAAACTAGTTCAAACCTTTGTATAAAAAGAACATGACTCAAGGTGGACTTTCCCGATGTGGTTAAATAAGTCGTAAGGGCTTTAAGCGCTGATTCCAAAACAATCCTCATAGCTTTAGAGGCATTTTTCTGCTCTCGAATTGCATGGTCAGGTAGTGTTTAAAAGAGGTAAACTTGAGTAAATGCAAACTTTAAGTCACATGCCTGTATGTCTGAGATATGTTTATTGTTCTGAAAAAAAATTGTGGAGTTGGTTATTTCAAACTAATCTATCCATTTCAATCTTTAATCTAGAGCACCATGTTGCACACAAATAGTGCTTAAGATAAATATCCCTAAGATAATCGTAGTACCGAGGTTATAAGCAAATAACCATGATTTTAAAGTGCACAAACCTGGCGGTTTCTTCGTCGTAATTATTGACTTGGTTGTATTCTTAGCATAGGTGATAGCAGAAGTCGTAAATATCGGCTTCGTGGAATTAGTCGCAGTACTTGATGTACTCCTCCTGTCCGTACTTACATTACTGGTAATAGCCTTTGTTATGGTGGTAGTCGTCGTGACAAAATTAGTGCTTGGAGTGTTCGCTGTTTCACCTGAAAATTTCCAAAAACTTTTGAGTTTTTTCACATGCAAATTTGTTGTTGAGACCTAATTATTTATGCACAGCTTCCAGTCTGCAAACTGAGAAAGTTGTCAACATTATGGCTGTCTTCAAAAACGACAATCATGCTGGTTAGCATTTGGATTTACTGACTGTGGAATGAAAACGGAAAAAAAGTGCTTAAGTAAAAGGACGAAAATCTTCTTACTTTGTTCGAGAAAAGAATGGCTATTGCAGTAATTCAAAAAAAAACATATATCCTATTCTCAGGTGTATAAGCCGCGGGGTGGTCCTAGCGACCAGCCCGGGCACATGAAAGAACCTCGCAACCAAAGGACCCTATACCGTGCTGCGAATTGCCTGAAAGAATAGTGCGGCATGAGGTTCGCTTCTCGAAACACAATGAAGCGGCTGAGCAGTTCGTTTGAAAATTTGAAAAAGTGCGGCTTATACACCTGAAAATAGGGTAATTATATCCAGTTCTACAAATCGTTAAAATCATTGAAATTACACCACAATCTGACCTGAGCTTTTTGAACGTGTTAATGAAACAATTGCGATGATTATGGCAACCGTGGTAACACCGACTAGCAAGGTAACTGCAAATACATCACATCTCAATTGGCTTATCTGGATCTGGAATTTATAAACCTGCGTAGCGTACGCTTTTTCCGACAATAAAATCCGCTTTGTCAAAAAACTTTGCAAGCAGCTCTCGAGGCGAAACGGATGTTGAGCGCTTTCGCAACATTTGCTAGCTCCGTCCAATCGACCTGGACTAAATCCAAATTACTAATGATTCGTATATATTTCCTATACGCTATTGGAAGTCGGTAGAAGTATCAGGGAATGATAAGCACGTGACAAAGAAGCCAAAGAATAAGCGACAGCTGCTATCACATAAAATCATGAATGACTCAGATTACCACATTCTATAATAGAAAACATGCCATGCTCTCAATAGTTTTCGTTTTAGCGCCAATAATTTGAAGTTTTTACCACTTCTCTGTGTTGCCTGAAAGCAACAAACTCGAATTCCACGGTACAGAGGTGGCTATCAGAACTTTAATAGCCGTTTTGAATGGGTAAGATGCCAAGTGTTTTAACGTCTATTACTACTCTCTGAAATCACGATGTGAGTTAGGTGATAATGTCTCACATCGGTACTAGATGTATACATATAAACATAGAGAGCTTGAGAGAAGCAAAAATATGGAGTAGTTAGTCTCCAGATGCCAATTTCTTTCAGAGCTGCTTTCCTATGTAGTCAAAGACTTGAATGACGCAAAGTTTCGCAAAGTCTAAGTCGGTCTAAGTGGGTTACTTCTGCAAGGCAAAAAAGTGCTATCAAGAGGATGATCTTACAAAATTACGAAAATTAGTTAAGAGACTAAAGAGACTAGAGTCGCTATGATGGGCCATGTTCTTTCCAAATTATACATTCTTTACGAATTGATATGAGAGAGACAGCCCTGCTGATATGAAGACCGCACATCTTGCTTTCTCGTGATAGAGTAGGGGTTTTTTTGTGGAAAACAACTGCAACCGAAGATTTTCTTTGAATGGCAAAATAATGGGAGAGGAAGGTTCATGTTTCAATGACTGAAGAAATCATTCTGTCACTGAAAGGTGTCAGATAATCTAATTCACGTATCTTAGGGATGTTAAGCAATCAAACTCATGCACAGTTAGAGCTTGAGCTTGGCTTCTTTGATGAACGCATGAATGTTTAAAAGGGGCTCAATTCAAAAATTTATAGAAAATTTTGCATTTTTTCCGTGTTCAGGTGCTGCTTGAACAGCGATGGTGATGGCAAATGACGATGTTTTCATTACAGTGCTGGCCAAAACAGAAAGATATAAAACGATTTCATTTCAAAGAGAGATTGGGATTACTTGCTTGCGAGCTGACCTAGAAATTGAAACAAAAGTGTGATAGTACCTTATTTTCAATATCCAAACAGTGTCGCCTTCGTATAATGCGTATAGAAGAATTTTGAAACCGGGTTGTTCCAGACCATAGATATATCCGGGATTTCCATGTACTACTCTAAGGTTTTGGTATATTCTGCGATTAGATTCATAAAGTGCAAAGTAATTGTTGGCTAAAATATAACACTCATACAGAAGAATGACCTGACCATGTCTTATGCTCAAAATTTCATACTCATACTGCTCTATAATCAGTTCTTCCCATGAGACGAAATTCCTCGCAGCGTTCTGTTCTAGCTGATGCGAAAATGCGAAAACGAAAAAATTATTCCAACGTTTTGAATGATCAAAACGTGAGCTTGATAAGAAAAAATTTCTGAGTAAAAGATCAAAGCAGCTTACGACATTCTAACAGTAAAATTTGTTACAAATTCAAGTTTAAGCCGTCAATTTTCAGCCCTTATGAGCCTGAACAAGTAAGGGCACTACATACTCAGAAAATTGGCTTAATGAACTTACATATCTGCAAAGCGCACTTCACTGCCTCTAATTGTAAGATGAAAAGTGCTACATCGTATGGCTATAATTGCTTATCACGAAATAGTCTTTCAAGCATCACATTTTCGCGCTTTATGAATATATTAAGTTGGAAACTATGTTTTCCAACTGGTCTCATAACTTCCCTCTCACTCAACATGGCGCACTCAAATTTTGCCACTGCGTTGTTTATTACGTAAGCTACGAGCGCATCTGCTGTCCTACCAAATTCTGACGTCGCAGTGAGGGTTACGGTAGGTGGTTGGTATAAAGGGGAAAAATTCGAAGTTTGACGGATTTGGCTGAAACTTGGCATAGGGGTGTTATCCGACATGATGATCACGAAAACGATAGTGAAATTGCATGATAAAGGTTTTTTGTAGGATTACTGTAGGTGTACGATATGGGGTCCTACCCTAAACAAGGAAAGAGGCGTTGATTCAACAAATGAATGTGATATTCGCGTTTAGCAGGCCAAATAACCTTAATATGTAAAGTCGGTGGAAATTGAGCTTCGGACTCTTTATTCATTGACGGTCGTCTCCAGCAGCTCTTGCGTACATCGACTCGTTCGAGTTTATGAGGACGCCAAATCTCGACATGCTCCTAAATCTTGTTTCTTTCTTACTAGGCCAAAGAAGTCAGCCTCCAGCAATAATTTGTAGACGAATCCGGATTACTGCGCATAGTCTAGGCTGCCAAAGGCTTCATTTTGGCTTGAAACCCCAAAAATTCTCAGATTTCACTAGTTTTCGAAAAACGCCTGAAACTTTTCTATTTCATGTTCAAAATTTGGGCAATATGCTTACTTGTAGCTCACATTGCCTTCTACATAATGCCAAAGTTTGAGTGCGCCATATCCAAAGAGAGTTGAAACCAGTTGCAAAACTTAGTTTCCAGCCTAATAAATCAGGTACAAATGTGCATTACCGGTCTAATGAGCAAATTTCGTTCTATCCCACTACATCTCAAATTTAGTTATGGCTTGTGAATGTGATCCGAAATACTCTTTGACTATCTTCGAAACAGAATATCTTTTTACTGCTGCTTTCGAGCAGTCGAAAAATTGCAAAGGATAAGTTGACATAATTTGTTATATCTACATTGACCATTTCTGTACAACTATGGTGAAACAAGGTTGAACTTAGAAAACATGCAGAACTTCTACGACATTCTCTTGACTTTTACTCGGAAGGGTTTGCGTTGAAGCGTATACCTCCGAAGTTCGTTATGAATACTATCCTAAAATGTCCATCTGCTGACTACGTTTGAAATCAAAAAAATGAAATTTTTGAGTTTGAAAAACTTGAAAATTTGAAATTTGAAAAAATTAACTAACAAAATAAAATTTGGTATAGATGCGAAACAGCAAGATAAAACACCAGTTATTCGAAAACATAAGCCACACTGAAAAGCTCTTCCAAACTTTTCACAATTGACGATTTTGAAAAGTGCACAAAATGGGGCATTCAAGGAGTTCTGGATTTTTAGATTTTTCATTTTTTTTCAAAAAATACCTGGAGAAAGATGGAATTTCCGTAAGTTGAGCTCAAGGCTCTTGTTGGAAACTGTAGATTAACATGAAACATCTCGATTTCCTCTTTTCACCCTGCATATTTGGCACATTACCTTACATCAGTGACCACTACTACTCAATTCATTTGTGCTCAAATACCACTTGCTATGCACCCAAAGAAGAACAATGGAGAAGACACTCATGACAAGTAGAGGACATTTCAGTTGCCGTACAACCTGTTGAGTTGAGCGTTCTCTACAACAAGTCAATCGAGCGAGTATGACCGTATAAATCGCATGACTAGCTTCCATCTTGCTCTTTTCTCAAAAGTCATGTTTCTGCTCTACACCTCGATGTGATCATGTCTTTTTTTCTCGAGCAAAACTGCTAGATTTATTAGAGCTTTCTTCACTATATAATTTTATTTATTAACTATTTATTAGTTATTAATATTTATTTAGTAATTTTTATCTCACGTTAGAGAAAATTTGCTATGTATTTGAGTCTATGTCTTAACGCAATTTTTGTAAGACGTCCTAAACGTAGAGGATAAACAGGTTGCTGCGAAAGGTATCTACTGGTGTTGGTCCATGATCGAATGGTATGAAGACATATCGTAGGAAGTTTTCAGTTCAAATTCCGTGGTCGCTAAAGTGTCAAAATTTTCCGCCCCATTTTTTTTACCTTGTACAAATCAGCTGCTTAAGCTTCTTATTTCGTAAGAATTAGATTTCATACAAGAACTTTTACTTACCGCTTCAATCTTTCAAGATCCCACTAATAAATCAGATTTAGGATGATGTAACGTATTATTTTTGTTGTGTCCCTTAGTTTCGGACACTTCTTCGTACCTTCGTCCGTTGGGCGGCACACGAGGAACAGAGAATACCAGAATATTTATTAGAAAATAATAGAACAGCACAATAAGAGAGCCAGATGAACGAACAGACGAACTGACAATGGCTAACAGCGAGCGCCTTTTATAGCGCTCATTTCCCGCGCAATGAAGCTGCAGGCGCCTCAGCGAGGGCAGATCATACGAGGAAACAACTGATCATACACTAACACAACACCTCCCCCAGTAGGGTAGTTACAACAGAACTAGCCTACGACAAAAGCATGAACTATAAATATGAACAACAAGAAATCGGTCATATATAGATAGCATATCATTTAAACAACTACAAACTAATGAAACAAACATACAATAACATACTATGAACTAGATTGGAACCGTTGTACCGGTCTTCTCGTTCTGCTCGACCTGCGAAGCGTTGTCGGTGGCGTGGAGGGCTCGTCTCATCACGGTTCCTTTCACCCAGTGAAAGTGGGGTGGCTCCCACTGCTTAGCGTATACCAGGTCACCAATTTCGAAATCTTTCCGAACGACTCCATGCTTCTGGTCGAACTGATCCTTCATGCGCTCTCGTCTTCCTCGTGCGAGTGGGTCTTCTGCATCTTCTGTCATCGGTAATAACAGACTTAATTTTGTGCGCAAGTTTCTGCCGAGAAACAATTCTGCTGGCGTCTTGTCGTTCAAGTTCGTGTTTGGTGTTGTCCTGTAGGCTTGTAACACCACATTTAGAGTATCTTCTGTTGGCCTCTCCTCCCCCTCTAGTTTCTTGATTCCGCGTTTCATCGTATCAACGAAACGCTCTGCCTGTCCATTCGATTGAGGGTGATACGGAGCAGTCCTTACGTGGGTGATTCCACCTTCGTCACACATCTTCTTAAACAAGTCCGATGTGAACTGGGTACCATTGTCGCTCACTATTGTTTGCGGCAATCCA